TGCATTCTGTGTCCATCAGCAACTTAACTATTGTGTAGAATGCAGAGCACTGAAGACATTTCCTACGGTCATACCAGAACATAGCGTAGCTCAAAGGATCATTGTGTTTCTGAACTTCAAAAGTGCTAACGGCCATTAAAACACATTTATAGACAATTTTCTAGCTTGTCACTGTTGGAATTGCACTAGAGTAAACAAGGTGTTAATTATGAAGAAATTGTAGTTCAGAAAGTGATGTGTTCTTCATTCCTCTTTCTCCATATTCTCCTGACAGTTGTCAGCAACTACTTTTCATATGTGTGTGTGTGTGTGTGTGTGTGTATTTTCTATGGACAAATCAGAAAATGTGTTTTTTAGCTATTCTTACTTTAGGACATTTTTCTTCTGTTTTTCTTATTAAAATTCTTGGAGTTCAACATAGATCCTTCCTACTCTGCTTATATTTTAAACACATCGATGAAGATGATTTTTGAAATTATCTTCATTGATAATTTTATGCATGTGTACAATTCCACTGCCAATTCAGTGCATCACTCCTCAAATATCCCCCAACCCTTCACACCTGCTTGTGTGCCCTCCACACTTCTGTCTGGCTCTTCTATTGGCTTCAATCACAAGTATATGAAATTGTGAATTTTTTCTCTATTTTGTAGATAACAACTAACAACTAACTGCACTGTCATTAGGAGTCATTGGTTATGCTGTGTTTGGAAGAAGAATTTCACTACATGCAAAGATGACTTTCAGTAATCTGCTTTGAAATTCATGCCTTTTTAGTGATATCAATTATGTATTTAAACTTATCACTGTTTTTCTTTTAGTTTCTTTAAAGTGTAATTTCAATACTAAGGTTTTCTATTTCTTTTTTTTTTTCCATTGACAAATATATTTAGAAACCTTCATGCTAACAGATCTGACCCTTCCCAACACCCCTCTTCTCTAGGACCTACCCCAAATTTAGTTTGGGCTCTTTAAAAAATTTTGGATTTCTAGTTTTTTTTTTTTTAATATATATCTGGAAAACCACGTGAATGTGCTGTCTGGGCTCTCCACCCTCCCTGTCCCCATCCACCTGTCCCTGTGGGCTGTGCTGTGGATAAAATCTGCACGACTCTGCTCGGTCATTCAGGTCTAGATCAAAACCTGGATACAGGTCCTTCCTTGGTGGTGACACCTCGGGTCACAGCCAGTTTGCTCAGCAGCATCTGTGCTACATCCTTGACGTCCTTGTACTCATGGAGGAGGGAGAGATGGTCCTCCAGTTCCATCACCCAGTAACCGTCTGCTGCCAGCTGGGTCATCTTCCTGTCCAGCATGCCCCGCTTCTCCTTCAGTTTCTGAAGGTCAGAGTCAGACTCCTCACTGATCTCATCAGCCTGTTCAGCTTTGGGAGATGGCTGTGGTGGTCTGAAGGCCGCATGGCAAATTCAGTTGAGTGCTGACTCATACCTCCCGAGCCCTGAGTTACCCGGATGGGGAACGGACGCTTCTCAGAACTTCCAGGGTTGGGGTTAAACGGCTGCCTCAAGTAACCAGGTAATGAGAAATCCGCGATGGAGACCATCAACCGCTCCCCCAGGTTTTCTATTTCTATGTGAAGCTATAGTTAATTCTTTTGCATTAAACGTATTTCCTTTATATCACTGAGCATTATTATAAAAACTTATTATTCTTCATATTTTGAACATGTGAGCTATTGTGATGTTGGTCTTCACTCTTTTTTTTTTTTTTGAGTTCTGTATTTTTATATTTATTATTGATTACAATTTATTCACTTTGTATCCCGGCTCTAGTCCCCTCCCTTGTGTCCTCTGAGTCCCACCCTTCCTCCCTCTTCTTCCCCTATGCCGCTCCCCTATCCACTGATGGGAAGGTGCCCCTCCCCTTCTACCTGACCTAGGTATTAGCAGGACTTGCTTCATCTTCTTCCTCTGGCAAATCTGCACACCCCACGGCGAGGTGATCAAAGATCTGGCCTCTTAGTTCATGTCAGAGACAGCCCCTGCTCCTCTTATAGGGAACCCACTTGGAAACTGAGCTGCCTATGGGCTACATCTGAGCAGGGGTTCTAGGTCCTCTCCATGAATGGTCCTTGCTTGTGGTTTTTGTCTCTGCAGGCCCCCCTTGGCACAGGTTTTAAGGCGCTGTTGGTCTCCTCATGGAGCTCCTGTCCCCTCCAGTTCTTTTATGTCCCCCTTCTTCAATAAGCTTCCCTGAACTCTGCCCAAAGTTT